ATCGGATTGGAACTGGAAGGAGCATATAAACAACAAACAGCATAAACTAAAGCCAAATATATATATATATATATATGCCATAATCAAGAAACAGTGTGGACATACTTTGAAGCTCACTTGTTCCTTCAACTGTTTTCACCTGTTTTAAATGCCAAAATCACAATTCAGTGTGGACATATTTTGTATAATGTAGCCTTCTAAACATTGTATGCTGACCAACTAAATATGCTGAGAGCCAGAACCAAATTAGAAAATTTTCTTCGCAAAGAAAAGAAGGAAAAGATGACAGGTTAAAATTGAGGTCTTTTAGCATAATGGTCTCTACCCTAAGCTAGAATCGTTCTAGATATGCATCTATGTGTATGCTACACCAATCCACTTGCACAATTATTGCTTTCTAAAATTTTCCAGAAAACTAATAAAATGGATGAAGTTGGCAAGGCCCTGTAGCTTCAGAATCTCATTTGCATACGTCATTTATGCAGAAAAGAAGATTCTAGCTCCAAGGGACCATCCTTTAATGTAATCTCAACATTTTATCAAAAAAGAACAACGTAAGTTTTTCTTCTTATGCATGTAAAACTTCCCTGTGAGCAAAGTTGGCTTGAGCTCAAATATTATCTGGGCAAGACCAACAGCTACTCAGGCTCAACATTGACAAACCACTTCAATAATCCAACAGCATAAGGTTTACTGTGAACAAAGAATAATAATAATAATAATAAAATTCCCACCTGCTGCTCTCTGCAAATTTACAACTCCTCTGAAATCTGGTAATTGTGTTGATTTTGACCAATAAAAAAGAGCATCTTCAAAATGGTTAAGAATGTGACAGTAAAAAAGGGCCACACTCTCCAATTGAGGTAGTTGTTCCACCACTAAGCGAAGGCGAAATTTTCTAATGTTCAAAACTTAAATGTTGTGTTATGTTGTAGCCTATTGAAATCTTCAATCTTCTTGCAGTGGTACACAAACTGAATGTTTTATCTGCTTAAATTTTCATAAATATGATAACTATCACGAGTTAAGCAGACCAGAAGTCGAAAATTAAGGCATGCATAGATTATTTTTAATCTGAGATGATAAAAATATGACCTTAACAACAATTCCCAGTATTGCATCAACATAACTGATAGATGTTGTTGAGATGAGGTTAATGCCATCTCTTCTGTTTCCTGTTATCTCTTCAACCTCGAGATACACATAAAGATCCCCTGGAGGGCCACTGCAGAAACCAAAATCGATTATTGATTTAGAATCATGTTCAGTGTGAAACCTTCGGAAGAGATATGTGTAGAAAATGTATCCCTTTTGAAGGAAAGTCCTGTAGAAATATTATGTAATCAGCTGTGATGCTTAAGAAAAACACGCAGAGATGAATGTGAGCTGAAGCAGTGGAAGGAGAAGGCATTCTATGGATTATTTATATTTTAAGATTTAGAAACTTTTATTTTTTTTCAAGAAACAAGTTTATTTCAACGATGATTTCAAGTTCCCTATTGTTTATATCTCCCAAATATACAGAAGGAAATCATTCAACGATGATTTCATCCAAAATGCATCAAAACTACCATGGTTTTGTTAGTGTATATGTTATTTTACCAATTACTTGATTACATGTAGGTGTATTAGCTTTGTTCATGTATATATATTTAATTTATTGATAAAAGCTTATTTATTTTTAATATTAATTAAAACTTTGTTCATGTATATATATTTAATTTATTGATAAAAGCTTATTTATTTTTAATATTAATTAAAAATTAATTAATAAATCTAGAGTAAAGATAAAGTTTTTGGGACAAAAATATTTTATAAAAAAAATTATAAAATTATAATTATAAGTTCCTATTGTATCAAAGCATTCTTAAATATTTATGTTCAAATGCTCTATCAAGATTGAAAATTAATTAGAGTTGTTGAGACCAATACATATTATGTTCTTTACTTTAAAAAAAAAAGAAGTTATTATTATAAAATATGGTATGAGAGATACCTAAAACTAATATGTAAGTACTTGTTAAATGACATGTTTACTGAACTGACCCGCATAAGAATTTCATATGAAGAGATTACTCATTCCTATGAAAAAACTTACGTTACAGTTGTATAAATAATTTTTAAATTTAATATCACTAAATTATCTTATATAAAAAGTGTTATATCCTAATTCTGCTACATGTTGTGCTAATAAATAGTAACAAATGAGTAGATATTAGATATAATGTGAACTATATAAATGTATTTAAATAATAAAAAAAGGATTCATCACCCTTAATAAATTAAGAAAAACATTTTATTTTTTTAAATAGTATTGATTATAAATCCCTACACAAAATAGAATGAGATTTGAAAAGAGTTTCAAATTTTATTAAAAAAATCAATAATTATTGTATTGAGAACAAATATAATATAACATAGTAGACACACTCTATGCTATAATGTTTAAATCAAAATATTATTGATGAAACTATAATAATTGTACTAATAAACTAGTCACTGAAAGTTTAAGTCATATTATATATAATTTTATTAATATTTTTTATACAAAAAAAAAAATTAAATTAAGTGTATAATGTAGTGCGAGTTCACAACTAGTGCACACTATAGCAATTTACAATAGCCAAATATTATTTTCATTATTTTTCCCTAACTTCTTCTTTTTTTTAAACTATAGATTTCTATTTCCAAATTAATGACCAATTTATTAATATTTGTTAAGGAAAGAGAAAACATAATAATAAAGGATCAAAGTGTAAAACAAGGAGAAATCCCATATATAATCTTAAACTAGAAAAAAGTTTTGTTCTTTAAATACTTTCCTTTCTCTTACTCTACGATCCTTTTAATTTTTACGATTTTAATTTTAGTTCAAATGTTTATTTTTTAACATTCCAATCATTGAGTTAAAGAGATAAAAGAAAAAGTCATCTAAAAACCCTAAAAGAGAGAGCAAGTAGGCAAATGACCATTTTTTAAGGATGAAACTTTTTATTTTTAGTGTAAACAAGTTTCATTTGATAAGATGTGTTTGATAGTGGTTATTATTTCCCATAAACTTTAGAAAAATAGATTGATTCTGTTTAATTTTTTTCTAGTTAATTGATTTTGTGATGTTTTGAAACTGGTAAGAGTTTTATGAAAATTTATGTTGTTTTTAGATAAATATAAATTTTTATGTCAAAACCCAATGATTTTTTCAGCAATTATAACAGTGGTAAGATTCTAGACAACAACTCCATAAACAACTAATCACTATAAGCAACTTGTCACCTTTTTAATTAAAAAAAAGGCATGGGTCTATGTTTTTTAATGTAAGGCCAAATGCGTTATATATAACTTTTTATTAATGGTTTTTTATTGAATTAGTTTTGTTTTTTATATTATGATTGATTTATTTTATATTTTTTTAGTTGCATGATATTTAAAAAAAATAATTTGATTTATTTTATAAAAATTAAAATTAAATATCAGTTGGTGTAAATCATTTACATTTGAATCTATTTTTTTTATATAAAGTTTAGCCTTTTGTTTTAATATTTACTTAGTATTAACAACTCCTTTTGATTTATCAGTTTATATGTGTGACCCTACCAATTCCTTTGAGTTTTTTTCTTGCAAACATATTCCAGTTCATATGTGTGATCCCTGCCAATGTGTGGCCCCTACCAATTCCTTCAAGTTTCTTTCTTGCGAACATATTTTCTACGCAGGATACTTAACATGTTAGCTTCATTTCTTAATTTATTTTACAAAGTGTAAATAATATATTTTTATTTTTCAATTAAAAAATATTAAAAATTATATTTTATATTTTATTTTTATTTATATTTTATAAAATTATTGCAATTTCAAATAAACATCGTAACATTGCGTTGGTGCTTGTTTTTTTAGTGTTATTTTTTTATATAATTAAATAAAAAAGAATTTCATAAAAAAAAGTTTTTTAATACAAGGGAGTTTATTATTCGTGTAACAAGTTTAGTAAATTAATTTGAGTTAATTTAAATCAATTCAATATATTATTATTTTAATATATATATTTTTTAAATTTTATTTTTATTTTTTTTAAATTAAACCATACTTTCACTAGTTATTAAAATTGCTTTTAAACAAGACAAGGTAACTGCATCATACCAGAACAACTCCTAAAAGATTTGATATAAAACCTAATCTAGATAAAAAGTTGAGTTAAAAAATTTTAAAATTGATTTGTTAGACCAGATCAGGTTTAATATATATATATATATATATATATATATATATATATATATATTAGTGCATATAATTATAAATATTTTACTTAGTAGTTGCTGTGAAAAACCTAATGGTTTTTTTTATGAGAAGAAAAATGAATTCTATTCACCGATTTTTCAAAATTCATCCAACTATCAGAAAGCCAAGAAAGTGTTTTTCTGATCGTAGAACCAATTTCTAATTGAAGATGAATATCTTTACATGTAAAAAAAGTTCTTTCAAATGCAATACACGTAAAATTAAATCCTATTATTATCTGGCAATATCAATGCATGGAGAAACATGCATTCGTTGAATACTTTGCAAGCATTCATCATTTCCTTCCTTCAAGTCATCAGTTCAAGTCTAGACTTGATGCGGATGATTGCATGAATACGGAGATAAACATATGAACTTGTGCGGGACAGAGCATCGATGGCTACTTGGCTTCAAGATCCCTAGCTCTTTTCTTCTCATCATACTTGATTCCAAAATCATGGTACAAACTACATTTCCAGGAAAGTAAGAACATGGAAAAGTAATGCACTCTTGTTCTTAGTTCTTTCCATAGAATGAGTTGGACAACAAAAAGTTGTCCCACAAAGTGACAAGAGTATCCATTTTTCCTGCAGTTTCCAATGCTAAACTATATTTGCAGCTAACTAACATGGTAAGTCAAGTCAATAATATCTACAAATCTTTACATTTCCACTAACTTTAGTTGGATTCTGATATAGATCTTTCCAGAGTGCTGATCTTTGCCATTAAAAGATCCTTACAGCTACAAAGCTCTTAAGCAGGGCCAGAGGCCAGGGCAGGCAGAATGGCTGGACCTTTTGGTAACTTCTGTTTTGCTGCTAAATGGTGTATCACATCCTGAATTCCTGCAAATGCCACTAGAAATTCTGCCGCATCACTTTGCCTTAAAACTTTCTTCACTGCCAGCTCTAACGCCTTAAACCTGCCAGGCACAAGTTTATGTACTTTTTGAAGTAAAGAGCACATATTTCTGGCAGTAATAACACAGTCTAAAAAACCCACCAAATGTGCCCATATCTTGTATCAGATATGTCTGTGTGTCAGTCTCGGGGATGCAAATACAATAAATTCTAGATGCAAAAACAGATATGAACCAAGCAAAGAAAATTCTTGTATCAGATAAGCTGAAAACTGCTACTCTATATTTTGCCAGCAGTATGACTGACATTTCAACAGTCCAACTATAAAAAGAACTGCCACATTTTCAGGTGTTTCATGTATTTAGGCTTCAGTTATGTAATCAAAGGGATAGAAAGTGGACCTCAGTTGCTGGGCCTTGGTAATTACTCTTTCTATCTTCTTGAACTCAGCTTGAATGCAACACAACGCAGTAGCACCACTTCGATGATTTCTGACAGGAGCAAAGGGAAGGTGAATGATACATGTAGCTTGAATCTCAGCCATTTCTTCATTTATTATCGCCTCCTCAATGCGTATTTCATGAGTAAGCTGTGCTAGGCGCCTCTCAACACCATTTGAATTGGATGAAGAAGATGACAGTGAGAATGATGAGGATTGGACCAGGGCATGGACGAGGTCTAGAATGCAAGAGGGCCGCCAATCCCCAAGCCAGGCCAGAGTGGTTAATTCATGAGGCAGCAACCATTTAGGCATGAGGAGCTTGGGAACATCCTTGAGCCTGGCTGGGAACATAGCACTGTCGTAGTTAGAAGGGAACCTATTCAATTGCTCTTCAATTAGCTCCTCAATTTTCCGACTTGTTTTGAGTTGTTTCTCTAGCCTTGCTGCTCTAGTTTTCTGCTCTTGTCCCCACGGACCATACTTTCCCCTAGAAACCTCTTCACCAAAAAACAACATTAATTGTCAGCTCTTGTGACAGGATCTATTTAATCAAAACAAATAATATACATAACTGGGTGACTCTAACCATCTGAAACGCTGAAATGCCAAGGTTTATTTTTTTTTATACATGTGGACTTTATCTTTAAAGTTATAGAATTTGTTTGATGGCTGCTCTCCTTGTTGAATCTGGAGAATAGCCTACGCAGGATACAGCAGAGTGTCTACCTCCATGCGATTCAGAAAATGGAAATCTTGACAGCACTTTTAACATGCATAATTGCATAATTTAAGGGTGTAATAATTTACAAATAAGTTTCACTTTCATCTGATGTGAGGCAGGTATCCTTGATTATTTAGGTGCCTTGTAAAAGCATGGAGGACCTAACCAGTTTCACTTAAGGCTAGAGGTTGCCTCTTCACTGACACCAGGTAATTGGACAAAGGAATTCATAGTAGTATTAAAAATTGCTGGATTTTCTCAGAAAATAACAATGTCATGCCAAAAATTATTGCGTGAACTACACAAAGAAAATGACAGTATTCTGGAGTCCAAAAGAAAGGAACAATTAAAGTTAATTTCCACCAAATTCTTTGCATCTACTATAAACGCTTTTCAATTCCCGTGTTTAGCAGAATAAAAGGGAAACAAAACTAACGGGGCTTTTACCTTTTGCACTCCTTCCTCTCTTGTGAAGCGTCATGCACTGTACTCTCTCAGATAGATGGCCAGTCTCGGCATTGTCTCCTTCTCTTTCAATGCCTTTGCTTTGCATCCCTTGACCTTCTTCTTGTAGTATCATACAATCTTTCGCTTCAAGAAAACTCCTACGAAATTTTTCATTTTGATGAGCAAGAAAAGAAGTTCTGGGACTAATCAGTTTCTTGGTCGTCAAGATTTAGTGCATCTTTCATCAAACAAAGGGAAAGCGAGAACTGGGGGGCTTTAAAAAAAAGAAACTAATTGGGATGGTTAAGAGTTAACATGGATTTTCTTTACATCGTTTTCTCAGCGACCAAACAGAGTATATGTGAGAGTGAGACCTTATATCTGTTCATAAAACCCGATCCACAATTTTCTTTTCTAGGAAATTGAACAGAGATAAGTTCATTGCTTTAATTTTCACATTCTCTTTTCCTTCCCGTAATATATTCCCGGCAACCAAACAGAAAACAACTCCGCCCTTTATTTTCCTTGTTTTACCAAGAGCCAAAAACAGGAAAGTATTATTAGATACTGCAATACATGAAAAAGAAGGTGCTGGAGCTTACAAGAGGGGTTGTGATGCTAATATTATCCCCTTCATTGTTTCTTTGCTTCTCTCAGTGCTTTCTTGGATATTTTCTTTCTATCTCTTTCTCTTTCTAAGGGTAAATCTTTAACTAGAAAGTTCTGTTTGCTTTTATGAAGCCAAGTCCAGCCTTGGAGGGGGGGGGGGGTGAGACAGAAGAAGAATTCAATAATCATAACTATATATATATATATATAAGCACCGAACCTATAAAAAAAATTCCGAAAATTACTTTGAATCTTTTCACTTTATCTCCGAGTTATCCATCCTCAACTTAATAAATTTATAATAATTTATTTTCTAAAAACTTTAATTAAAAAAAAATCAATAGAAAATATAGAAAATATTTAGGAATCACTGTCTTTTTCTCACTAGAAAAGTTTTTTTTTTAGTTAGTGTTTGACTGCTATATATCTTATATATAATTTCAAAACAAGAAAATAACTATGTCACGTGTTTCCATTTTTTTTTAATTTTAAAATAATAATCAAATGCTAAGATGTGAGTAATTAGGTTTGCATTTCCCATATTCACATGTAGCTTATTCTATGGGATTTTCTTTTTAAATGGTCTTTGATATCTTCCAAGCCGTTTTTCATACTAAAATTAATTCTTTTTTGTAATAAAAAATTAAGAGTTTATTTGTTTTTGGATTTCAAAAACACTTTTAAAAATATTTAATTTTTTGTACTTTGTTTTAAAATAATATTTTTTAGTGTTTTCACATCAATTTTATGTGTTGATATTAAAATATTTTTTTTTAAGTATAAAATATTATTTAAAAAAAATACTTTAAAAAACAACTATTATTACACTTTTAAACACATACTAAATCTCAAAAAATAATATTTTTTTTGATAATTAAAATGAGTGTATTTAATTATTTGGAAACATTGTATTTTTAATGCTTGTTCATCTACCTTAGAAAATAAGTTAAGATTGTTTGGAAATAAGATTCAACTCGTGTTTTTTAAAAATTTATATTTTTTTATTAATTTTTTTTATATTTTTAAATAATTTTAATATACTAATTTTAAAAATAATATTTTTTAAAAATATTATTTAAAAATATTTCTAAACAAAAAATATTTTAAATCATAACTGTTAGAATAAATTCTAAATAAATTCTAGACTCTTCCCACAATTCCACACAAACTTCAAAATTGATATGTTCAAATTAAATGAATCTACTACCGGATGAACACCTGGTGGCTACAACACAGGAATACAAATCATGTTACAAGAATTCATTCAAGATTGATGCAGTACAAAACCTGAGTTTTGAGTTGAATATATTAACTATCATGTCTACATGCCAACCTAAGCTATTATTTTAAAAAGACATTGATATTATTTTAAATATCCAATGAATTATTGATTTCGCTTGCTTTGTCTAAGATTTATAATATTACTTTAAATTATTATTAAAATAGTATTTGATATTATATTACTAGTTATTTTTTAAAGTATTTTTTACTTGTAAATATATAAAAATAATATATTTTTTAATTTTTTTTAAATTTATTTTTAATATCAAAACATTAAAATTATTTAAAAATATTAAAAAATAATAATCTTTTTTTTTATAAGACAGTCTATGAACACATAAACACACACGCCCCCAGTCAGGGGGAGGAGACCGGAAATTATTGCATCTGACCTGTCTTGGGAGTGCAATCCCTGAAACAGCTACTTCTATAATAAGAATTCATATTATATACATCTTCACTCTTCGGCTTAGTCAAAACTCGCCATTCACATTAAAATCATAATATGATTAAATTTATGAGTTCATACATTTGATCAGTTTAAGAGATGTCTCAAGAAAGAGGGGTTTTTCAAATGTAAAGATATGATATTTAAGAAATCATATTATATATAAACTTATTTTTTTTCGAAGTTAAAAAATTATATTGTATAACGTAAAGTGTAAATTTTTAAATTAAAAAGATAAAATAATTTTTTTTAAATTATAATATAAAAATATGATTTTGTTTATTTATTAATTGAAAGATTTTTATAAAGACTATAAGATCTCTAAATTATATAAATAATCATTATACCTTTATGTAATACATATATATTTCATGTATGATATAACATTTCCAATATACATTTTTCTCTCCTTATTATCACTTTGTTTCCTATATAATATTCTTTTTTTATTTTTAATATATACTACATTTTTTTTAGTACCTTACAATAATTATCTCAAAGAATTATGAAATTACAAATCTCATACAAAGTTTTGAAGATTTAACAAAAACCTCTTCCACCTTTCGAGAAAATACTGCTACTTTTTATATCCAAAATTCACTTGATTATTATTTAAAAAATTAAATAAAAAAATTTAAAAAATATAGAAAAATATATAAGAAAATAGAACATGATTTTTGTAGTACATCAACAATATAAATTTATTATTTAAGTTCTTCAATTTTGTTCCTTTTTAATTTTAAAGCATGTTAATTTGGCCTCTTACTTTTCTAAATTTTACTATCTTGCTTTAAAAGAACTTAAGGATTTTAAAATTTACATGCTTAACTTTTGATTTTATATATATAAAAAACATGTTTAAAGATATGTTAACTTTCAATTAAAAAACAAGGAAAACAAAGCTTTTTAAGATGAATGGCTGCTTACTTTATTTAAATAATAAAAATAACATTAAAGAAACTTAAATCACAAAAATGCCAATATTGCATATTTTACCTTAATATATAGTTTTTACACTAGTGCTTAAAAAATATTATATGATGTTTTGGTTTTATTTTTTACTTATATTACTCATGACTTTTGATTTTAACTATGCAAGTTTTTTCATGTTTTCAAGTTATGTTCTTAATAGTACTTTTAGTTCAAACAAAAAATATGACAACATATTACCAAACACTAGAGTAATTTTTCTTACATCACATCATTTCATTACTAACACAATTTAATATATTTAATTTTACAACACAACGCAACATAATTGATGCAGGAGGGTTTCTTTATTAAATTATTATTTTTTAATTATTTTTATTTAGTTTAAAAAACTTTTTATCATTTATGGTGCTAGTGTTTTTATTATTTCTATTTAGTTTATGAATTTTTTCGTCCTTAGTTATTATTTTCTTATTTAGTTCAAGAATCATCTTGTTTAGGAATTTTATTCTTTCTTATTTAGTCTATGATAAGAATTAAATTTAACCTTAAAATATTTATGATCAATTTTGTAAAATTAAATATATTTTTCAAATTATATATAGTTAAAATTTTACATAGAAATACTAAACATATAAACTATATTCTGGTAAATATTGTTGGCACATAATTGTCCACAACTCTGGCAGATGATTTTCAGTTTATGACACATTCTTTTTCTTTCAATATACTGGAGTCTTGTGGGGTTAATTTCATATCTAAATCACGTCACATATCTCAGGCTTAGGGCAGAAACTATGATTTATCTTTTTCTTACGAACACTTCTGCAACTACTTTCCTTGTCTTGATAACTCAGTTTCCCAGCTTGGGAAGGTCTCTTTTGGGAGAGGGCATCTGACTTTGAGGAGTCGATGAAGTATAAGAAGCTTACTAATGCAAAGATCTGGTCTGGACCAAATTCCTAACTGTAAATTTACACTTTGCTGATCCCCCGCAACAAACAGGGCAAATGTTTATGTGGGTTTTCAAGTGCAGTTAGATCTAACCGGAATCTTCACTGATTCAGATATTCCGTCCTCACTTGTGGCAGAAGATTCACGGGAATGTTGTCATGGATCCATGTCAGGTCTTGGATCAGGAGCTGGATGCTTTGGAAACTGAGACTGCAGGAAGAAACAAACAATCCATCCATGGAAAAGTTATAAAATGAACAGCTCCTGTGCAGACATTCTGCTTTTTGCTGAGCATAGATGGTCCATGTCAAAGCCTAGTCTTGTGGCCAAATCTCCAACTGGTTTGTTTTCCTATCCTGTGTTCATGTTTCTCACTTTCATCATTCCATGCCTTTTCTTTTCTGATGTAGATTAAATCATACTTTTATTTCTATTGAGGGGTTATGATTTGGCAACCGGTTTCCAGGGTCTAAACCTCTGCAAGCTCAAGCTATGAATAAAATAAGAAGGAGCAATATTCATGCTGGATACAATATTTCTGTGGCATATCAGTTGATTAATTTTTGATAAAGCTGTCGAGCTCTTGTGCTAGTGGTTTGTTTTGGTGCAGTGCAGTCAAGCCCAGCTTTGTATGTCTTGAGGGAGCGGATAAGGAAAGGATTGCATGCATTTGTATTCTTCAGAGCCCACAGAACCATATTTATCATCCCAGAATTATGAGGAAATCTTTAGCAATCAGATAATATGGTTTGTTGATGATAAGGGAATCTCACACCAAAACCCATAAACGGTGCAATCTACGTATTCAATCCGAGAGCTGTTTCAATTTGATTTGAAGATTAAAATTAAGAATTATTATTCTTAACATAATTTATATAATTATTAATAAATTTTTTAAAAATATTATTATTATTAAAAAATAGTAATAAGAACATATTTGAGTTGGTATGGCCACACCTCGTGAACTAAGGTATAGTAGGAATGCCAAATCTAAATTATTTATGTTTAAATAAGTTTAAAAAATAATATTAAAATTAAAAAACTTGAATGTGTTATGAATGTGTTATAGACGAACCCTAGAAGCTTGGGTCTAGCATGGCCGAACTCAGTAAGTAGAGTCTTACAAGAAATATACTATACCTAAATAATTTGGTTCTAACATATAATATTATATCCAAAAAAATGAATCTTATTATTGTTATTATTATTATTATATTTTAAAAAATTATAGATTTGATTTGAAATATAAAATTAAAAATTATTATTATTATTAAAAATTATTGTTATTGTTGTTGTTATTTTTTTTTTATTAATATTATATATATATATAATTATTATTAAGAAAATAATAATAAGGTCGTGACTACACTTTATGAACTTGGATCTGATAAGAAATATTATATCTAAGATATTTGGATCGGACACCAAACCCATATTACTTGGAAATGGAAAAGGATGCATACACATGAAGCTTCTCCCAAAGAGAGTTTTCGCTACAAATCCTCAAGTGAGATCAACTCTATGCAGAACACGTACAAAAAGAATAAAGAGACTATTAGGATCAGTGAGAGCTGCCAAGGAATCAAAAGTTCAATTTGGATTGAAGTAATATTCATTAAAAGGAGGAATGCTCATGACATCAAACAAACCTGTGCGAGCACTGTTGAAGAGGCCATACAAGATTAATCATTCCTCCAGCTTTCTTTAGAGGAAATCTGACAAATTCTGCCAACTGAGAAAAAACAAAGAGAAAATGAAATTCTATTCGAGGGAAGAAAATCAAGTAAGAGAAGATCCATTTAACATGAGAATTTACTCGGCATATACAAGCAAGTAATACTACGAACATCTCTTTAACTAAACTAGTTAGATTTTAAACTTATTTTTTAATAACTGTGAATTCAAGTTTTTTTAAGATTATTGAAAATAAAATTAATTAAAATATATACAAGTTAACCGGAAAATTAATTAAAATATATATAAGTTAACCGGATATCCATAATAATAATAATAAAAAGAATATACATCTAAATTTTTCTTATCAAATAATTAACCATGAGAAACAAATACAGAGTCAACGAAACAAACTTGACTTGACAGGATAGTTGTTGTTGATGATACATGCTACCTGCAGACTCTTTTATGACTGGAGATATGATACCAAAACTCATCAGCCAATCTTTCATCTCTTCTTTGGAATCCATTTCCTCATCATCCCCACAACTACTTTGAGAGCTCGAGCCTGGCAAAAGTCTCTGCCTGTTCTTCTCTGCTACAATGACCATACCTCTTTAGCCTTATTACACCTCATAACATAAAGCCACAGCCAAACCAGAGTGCTAAAACAACAACAGCTAAACTCAACATACTATACACAAATCAAAACATAGCTATTGCAGTCCTGTTACAAAGCCAGGCATTCGTTAAATATTCACTTCTTACATAATCTAACCAGTACAACAGCTTCCTCTACTGCCCTCCTTCAATTAGTACAAACGAAGATAAACAAAGAGAAAAAGGAAATTCACACACTCACTCTTGGTATCTGGTAATTTACCTGGAAAAAAGAAGTCCAAATGTGCGCATGAGGTGTATTAAATCCTAGATTGATACGTATTTGTATATATATATATATATATATGAAGAAATAACTTTCCTATTTATCCACTCTATATTTTTCCCATTCTGTATCTGAATTGTAACTATATATATTGCCTCCTGTAGAGAAGAATAATACAGAAAAGTAATATTACAGAAACCCTATTGTTTACGTCGTATTAGAGTAGACTTAATTCCAAAGACGTCTGCAGTAAACAAAATCGAATACAAACCTCGAATCCCTTCTCCTACAAAAAAAAAAAAAAAAACCGTATCAAGTTGTTGTTCTTATTCTACGAAACAGAATCCTCTATATTTCTAAAACATAACTCACAAGCTATTTTGCTTTCTTCTTCATCTGGTATTCTTTTTCTTCTATGGCTGCAAACTTGTCAATTGCCATTGTTTTAACACCAACACAGCAGATTATTATACATCAAGATAATATTGCCTTCCCACGTCCTTGATGAGACCAACTATTCATTATGGTCTCAACTCATGGAGATTTATACAGGGGCTCACAACAAAGCTGGATATCTCATGGGAGAAACAACAAAACCAGAATTTAGAGATCCTAATTTTGGAACATAGATTACTGAAAATCACAGACTAAAAAGTTGGCTTATTGACGCAATCAGTCCAGCATTAATGCAACGATTTATTTGCCAGTCTATAGCCAAAGAAACAGGGGAGGTTGTATAAAAAATATTCTATGATGGATTAGATGAAACCTATATCTTTGAATTGAACCAAAGATCTTTCTCTATCAAATAGAATGGTCGCCCCTTATAAACTTACTAACACGAACATGTTGCTATATTTCAAGAAATTGATCACAGAGCGAAATCTCAGGAAGGAACAGTTGAAGGGGTAATTCAGTTACACTCCACAATGGCTAGGCTTAGAGTTCATATTTTTTTAAGTGGACTTGATTCTGAATTCAATCAGGTTTGTAGTGAAATCTTGCTCAAAGATCCAAAACTTGATTTGGAGAACACATACACATATGTTAGGAGAGAATGCCAGCAAAGACAAACCATGGGAAGCTATCATCTAATCTCTGAGAATTTAGCTATGCTAACCAACACTCTCCAAAAAGGATCATTATATGAATCAACCAGTAAACAAAACACTCAATTATCTAAAAAGGTTAACAACTTGGTCTGCGTTCATTGTGGGAAAAAAGATCATTCATAATAGCAGTGATATGAGATTATTGGCTATCCAGAGTGGTGGGATTTCTCAACGAAATCTCGAAAAAAGATCTTTACAAGAGCTATGACAACATCTACAGAAGATCAACAACAACCTATAACAAATATTGCTCATCTTGGTAAAGTTGGTAAAGTATCTATATTCCGTGCACATTATAAGGATAAAACTTGAATTGTTGATACAGGTGCATTTGCACATATGACGAGAGACGTTAGACAATTACAATCCATACTCCCTTCTTCTCAATCAATTATTTCCACAACCAATGACAATACCTCCCCTGTTACTGGGGAAAGATCTATTATTTTGTCAAAAACACTCACACTAAATACTGTCTTTTTTGTTTCATCTCTTGAATATAATCTATTATCTGTTAGCCAAATTACATCCACTCTTCATTGTACTATAACATTTTGGCACTCCTTTTATGTATTTCAGGACATTCTAACCTGGAAGATTCTTGGTTATGGTGTTAGACGGGGCAAACTCCACTACTTGGAACATATAATAGAGAATAAAAAATCAGTCAGGCAAATCATATTAGTAGCAGAAACATGGCTTAGACAATTATATGGTTATGGCATCATAAATTAGGACATCTTTCTTTCAGTTATCTAAAGAAACTACATGTAGTACTCTTTTTTGGTATTAATGAATTGGATTTTCATTATGATACGTGTGAATTGGTAAAAAGTCACTGTATCTCTCATTCCCCAAGTTTGAATAAAAGTTCAAAAGTATTTAAGGTCATTCATACTGATGTTTGGGGTCCTGCAAAGGTTCCTGCAATTTCTAGCTCTCTTTATTTTGTGATTTTTATTAATGAATGCACGAGAATGACTTGGGTATCCTTACTTGTATATAAGAATGATGTGTGTCTAGCTTTCCATACATTCCACAGAATGATACAAACTCAGTACCAAAAATAAATTCATGTGGTGTAGTCTGATAATGGCACCGAGTTTGTAGCTGCATCTTTTAGGAACTTTCTGCACAGTCATGGAATTCGCCATAAGACCTCATGCATCTATACTTCACAATAGAACAGATTAGCTGAGCGAAAAAATCGACAACTATTAGAGGTAGTGCGTGCTTCCCTCTTTGGTATGAACATGCCAAAATTCTATTGGGGTGAGGTTATGAAATTTGCTGCTTATATCATCAATAGAACACCCTCTCGAGTCTTAGATTTTCAAACACTCTTATAAAAGTTGTAATCCTTACTCCCAATTCCCCATTTCCCCAACCTTGAACCCTGAATTTTTGGTTGTATTGTGTTTTTTCACACCCCAAAAATCTTACTTAACAAACTTGATCCATGTGTAAAACGTTACGTCTTTGTTGGCTACTTTGACCTTTAGAAAAGATATAGGTGTTATGATCCCTACACCCGCAAAGTCTATGTGACATTGGATGCCTCCTTTTATGACCTCGTACCTTATTACTCTAGGGGAGTCTCAAGCCATTCTCTTTAGGGGGAGAGCTTCAGTAACGAGAATGAGGATTTGATGGATAAAAGAAGTGAGGAGTTTACCCAGTTAGAGGCTCTGACGGATAAAGTAAGTGAGTAGTCTACCTAGTTAGAAAAGAATGGACAATTGAATCCATAAGATTGTGATCACAACACTGATGCTGAGAGTGATTCCACACATGAGGCTCTACTATTTCTTGATGAAGTTGCATCACCATTTGAGTTGCCCCTGTCTATACCATTACCTGAAGAATCATCCATGAATGTTCCTTCTTAGGTAAGTCCTACGATGAGAGAGTCTAATGAAACATATTGTCCTACAACAAACCCAACTAACCCAACTTCTAGATATCCATAAAGGATGAATAAGGGAATTCTAAAAAAAAAATATGAACATGATCTTACAGTCAAAACCAAATATCCAATTAATAATTATGTGTCCTTTCATAGGTTGACTTGTTCATATACACTTACTGTTAATCAACTTTCCACAGTTTTTATTTATAGTAATATGTAGGATGCATTGGCTAATCAAAGATGGAGAAAGGCAATGAATGAAGAGATGAAGGCTCTACAGAAAAATGTTACGTGAGAACTGGTTCCGTTGCCCAAAAGAATGAAGACAGTTGGATGCAGATGGGTATTCACTATGAAACTCAAACTAAATGATAGTTTTGACAGGTATAAAGCCCGACTAATCACAACAGGATATACACAAAGGTATGGGATAGATTATCAGGATACCTTTTCACTAGTAGCCAAGATCAACACTATTCATATTCTTATATCTATAGCAGCAAATCGAGAATGGCCTCTGCAACAGTTTGATGTTAAGAATGCATTTCTCAATGGTGATCTGGAAAAGGAAGTCTACATGGAACTACCACCCAGAGTTACAACAACTTAGGTAAAGGTGAAGTCTGTAGACTGAAGAAGTCATTATATGGACTGAAACAGTCACCTAGAGCATGGTTTGGGAGATTTTTTACTACAATAAAGGAGTTTGGCTATAAACAAAGTAACTCCAATCATACTTCGTTTATAAAACATAACGAAGGAAGATAACCACTTTAATTGTATATGTGGATGATATGGTCATGACAAGAGATGATCCACGTGAAATGAAAGCATTATAGGTATCTAGTTACTAAATTTGAAATGAAGGATCTCGAACACCTTAAATATTTGTTAGGAATTGAGGTGGCAAGGGCAAGGCAGGGAATATCTCTTTCACAGCAAAAATATATGATAGACCTTCTAACTGAAACTGGAATGCTTAGTTGCAAACTAGTAGAAATGCCTATGGAGATGAATCATAAGCTGGGAATTTTTCCAGATCAGGATCTAATAGACAGGGATCGTTACTAGCGATTAGTTGGAAGGCTAATTTACTTATCCCATACTAGACCTGATATAGCATATGCAGTAAGCGTGGTGAGTCAGTTCACGCATGCATGAAGTAAAGAACATATGGAAGCAGTATATCGAATCTTACGGTACTTAAAAGGTTCTCTAGGAAGAGGATTGTTGTTCACAAAAACAATATTTCTAACATTGAAGGATATATAGACTCTAATTGGGCAGGAGATTAGACGACTAGAAAATCTACTTTTGGTTATTTTACATTTATAGAAGATAATCTTATCACTTGGAAAACTAAGAAATGGAAAGTAGTAGCAAGATCAAGTGTTGAAGCTGAATTTCGAGGGATGACTCATGATGTATGTGAATTGATATGGATAAGGAATATATTAAGGGATTTAGGGATTAAATATACTGAACCTATGAATCTATTCTCTGATAATAAGACAGCTATAGCAATTGCACAGAATCTTGTTCGATATGATCGCACTAAATATGTTGAGGTTGATCGTCATTTCATCAAGAAGAATCTCAATGGAAGAATCATACAATTTTCGTTTATACAATCTAAGAGTCAACTGACTGGTGTACTTACAAAGACAATTTCAGAAAAAGCATTTCATGATAAAATTGACAAGTTAGGCATGATAAATATCTACGCACTAACTTGAAAGAGTGTGTGTGCATGAGGTGTCTTAAATCTTAGATTGATTCGTATTTGTATATGTATATATAGGAACAAATAACTTTTTTATTTATCCATTCTGTATTTTTCCCATTCTCTAAATTGTAACTATACATATTACCTCCTGTGGAGAAGAATAATATAGAAAAGTAATATTACATAAACCTTATTGTTTACACCAAAGCAGTGTGTTTTTGATTGTTTGGGGTGTATGGTAATTTAGTTGTTTCTTTTTCTGCATAAGAAAAAATGGAAAGAAGAAAGAGAAGTTGTTCCTAGATGACTTGCTTGATTTTCAATAGGTGACTGGTGAGGGAGATGATAAGTATCTAATAGGTACAACTGAACATCCGTTGTGTGCATATCATTTAAGTGATTGGATTCATCCTACACAGTTACCAATCAGGTTATAATAATTGTCTAAGGACTACTGTTTTTTTTTTTCAACAATAACTGTGATTGCTTTTGTCTCCCTAATTTCTGTTTTTCTTAGATATGCTGGGTACTCAACTTGTTTCCGTAAATGGGCTAGTGCACATGGTCGTGATATACTATTAGCATTTTTAGGGTTCATCAATTTGAGAAAGTGGAGCATTTTTGCATTACCAGCCCAAATGGCAATGAATCTTGGTAGGTACTAGAGGAAATGATTAAAAACTCTTAGGAGTTTTACCAGGAGGAGTGGTAATGTTTTTTTTTTTTTTCAGTCATCTGTTATGCATATTTTCCTCTTATGGACTTGTGAGATAAAAATCTAATTGCACTAGGCCATTTTTTCAATTCCACATGGTTTAGTGAGTTGCTGGATGTTTACCTTTGATTGAATGCCATGATTGCAAGGTGTTGGGAATTCTGGCTCCCTATACGCGGACCAGTGGTGTTCATGATCATTTGCTCATCGGAGGCCAAGCTCACTGACACACAATATTTAACGTGGTTCGGCAAATTGCCTACATCCATAAGAGAGATGAATATTATTAGAGATAGAGAAAAAATACAACACACGGAGGAGGATCACATTTACACAACTCCCATCTCTCATTGCTACATAGGGTAGCAGTTGCATAGGGCAACAGGGCTGCTGGTGGTAGCCCTTCCTTCTTTCTCTCTTCTTCTCTTCACTTTGCTTTTGCTCTCTCTCAATTTGCTCTCTCACGTATGCCTCTATTTATAGGTATCCATGACAACTTCTCTTGCTCTTTTGTCAACAATGGTGGTTGCCAAACTTTAACATTTCAGAAGGGCTACTGCATTTCTCAATGGACGGTGCCGTCCATTAATGGTTGTTGCATGATTAGTACTTAAAAGTGCATTTTTATCAAGGTTTTATATCATCATTTTGCACTTGAAGTATCAATAACTCCTTAACTAAAATATGTTTTATAATAATGTATCTAATAATATAAGATACCTATAATTTATGGTAAATGTCTATTTTTAATGCAGGTCTACCACATAAATGAAAGGATTGATTGATGAATTTAAGAACTGAAATTGAAAGGATAAAGAGATGGCAAAA